TGCCGGGGCGCGGGGCGCGGCCTCGGAGCTCGGCTGCGGGCCCACGGCGGCCGCTGTTATGTAAATGACAGCCCCGTGCCCCTGCCAAGTTCATGGCGACGCCGGTCCTCCGGGGCATCGCCGCCGTCCGGCCAGCTTCACGCAGCTCTGTTTTCCACGTGTGTTACAGGTAGGAGGATGACTCGCCTGGCACAGGAGCAGGAGTTATGAGCCATGCCTCAGTGAGACCTGCGGAATTAAGATCAAATGCCTGGAGAAGTCCACTTGCACAGAGCAGCGCCACAGCTCTTGTGAACTGTGGACATCGACGCCTCTCAGACTTGCTTCTCTGGCCCCAAGCACTCTGCTGGCGATTCCTGCCCTACGAATGGCTACTCAGAGGAAGCACTTGGTGAAAGATTTCAATCCTCATATCACCTGCTATATCTGTAAAGGCTATCTCATCAAGCCAACTACAGTAACAGAGTGCCTCCATACCTGTAAGTAGTACTTTGCAAAATAGTCCCTCCTTCATAAGTTATATTTTCTTGAAGTGTTAATGTGTTTAATACAACCACTGTGCTGGTTTTGTTTACTGAATTTTTATATTAAATACGCTGAATTAATTCCATATCTTCTGGAGTTTTCTAAACACTGGTCTGCAGTCTGGGTTATCTTGAACTGTATGTAGTTCTCCACAGTACTGTAGAGGTATGAAGCTCCTGCAGCAGGTCCAGCAGAGTACTAAGTTGGTCAGGGAGAACCTCTCTTACAATGAAAGGCTGAGGGAGCTGGGCCTGTTCAGGCTTAGGGGGAGGCCTGAGAGGGAATCTCATTAAGGTAAATAAATATCTAAAGTGTGGGTGTCAAGAGGATAGAGCCAGGCTCTACTCAGTGGTGCCAGCTGATAGAACAAGAGGCAACAGGCAAAAACTGATGCACGGGAAGTTCATGAATATGAACGTGAACAAGTTCACCTGAACATGAAGAACTTTTTTACTGTGTGGTTGACGGTACACTGGAACAGATTGCCCAGACAGTGTGGAGTCTCCCTCCTTGGAGATATTCAAGRACAATCCAGATSCARTTCTGTGCCATGTGCTCTGGGATGTCCATRCTTGAGCAGAGATGTTGGACCAGATAGCCCATTGTGGTCTCTTTCAACCTGACCAATTCTGTGAGGGTGTGTCAACTCTGCTGAACACCTTGCAGAGTACAGAGACCCTTTTGTTTCCCCTAAGCTAGTGATGATTGTGCTGGCTCTAACACCACACTTGTGTCACTGTGGCCTGTCTGATCGCAGGTGAGATCATTAGGTCAGGTGTGCTTTTTTGATGATACAATCATGCTTTTGGAACTTAAGCTAATGTATTTGTTGGCAGTGTGTATGATGGATGCACTGGTTTGGTCAGTACTGGCACACATCTCTCTAATGTGTTTCATGGCACAATGCAGAGAAATACTTGGCAAAATATTTACTTAGGGAGTAGATCTCTTTCAGTGAAACCTTGTATTGACATAGATGTTCTCCAGTGATCATAGGGGAACTAATGTGATCAGTAGTAACCAAAGCAGAGAATCACCAGTTAATTCTCATATTCTGTGCTGCTGGAAATTAATAAGTAGATAAGTTCTGCTCTGAGAAATGWGTGCCTTTTCGATAAGAGATGTTTCTGATGGGGCTTTTGAAAATGTTGAACAGATTGGGTCGCAGAAGTGCAAACTTTCCTATCTCTATTGGAAAGGAAATGGTTGTGTTACTGCAAAATTTCTTATTCTGCAAATTCAGCACTTTATTTCTTTTTTGCTACTTCCAGCAGAATGGTTTTGTATTATGGATTGAAACCATTTTTTCTAGTCTGTTACACAGTTGTCAACAATGTTTAAGAACTACTGATGGAAGCAGGCTGGATGTGAGCTAAAGGGTATATCCCATCATCTGTCTCCGGAGTCACTCCGTTGTTTAGTACAGTGTGCACTTACAAAACTGGGAAAATAAACTTTCCTCAAGAACATTCTTTAGTATCTTAAAAAATATCAGACTGTTTACACAACCACAGAAATGTTGGTTGAAAGGGACATCTGGAGCTTGTCTAGGCCAACTTCATGCAAGAAGGCAGGTTAGTTGCTAGCGCTATACCAGGCCAAGCCATGGCTCTGTGTAGTTGACACTTGGATTTCCAAGCATGAAGTCTCTACAGCCTCTCTCAGTAACCGTTTCTGCTGCAACAGTCTTTATCTAGTTTTTCTGAAAGTCCTGCCAAGTGTCAACCTGTGACCATTGCCCCTTGTGTTACTATTTTTGCCAGGCTCCATCGCTCCAGTAACTGCTGTTCAAACGGTACAGACTGTTTACTTCACCTGCCAGCCAATACCATGATTTGCTTTTGGCAAATTGCTATTGCCTCTTCCTGATTACATTTTTGTCCCTCGCATAGGTGGAAATTGACTCCAAGGGATGTGATGTAATCTGCCCTCTTTCCAGTGAGCTGGGGGAGACTGTTTAGCTGTTCTTCCCTGGGTCATCCTTCCCCTCTTTATTAAASGTGGGCACAACACACTGTCTTTTCTAGTCATTGGGTACCCATCATAATCACCATGAGGATGGTGATAAGCTTTCATTTTAGTGAATCCTACCTGGCCTGTAGATTTAAGTACTTGAAGTCTTTCTCAGTAGGTTCTAACCTGTTGCTCCTTGGCTGTTGAACATCCCTCTCCTTCCCAAATCATGATGGTATGCGTGGAGATCTGGGATCAGACTCTGCCTGTGAAGACCAAGGCAGAAAGATGCTGAGGACTTCAAACCTTTCTGTATAAGCTATTTCTGAGTTTTTCACTCATTCATTAAGAGGCACATTCTGTCTAAGCTTCCCTCAACTGCTAGWGTACTTACACAATTCCCTTATGTCTCTCATCAGCTTTGGCTATGGCTGGGCCTTGGCTTTCCTACTTTTGTCTCTATRTGCCAGAGTAGTGATTTTATATCCTTTTGTTTCCCATCCTTGTTTCCACTTCTAATATGATCTATTTTTGCTTATGAATTAGGAACCACRTGCATTAAGCAATTCTTGTGTGCTAAGCAATTCTTCTGACAGAATTCCCTGTACAACAGACTATATAGCTTGGCCAGCTTTCCTGAGTTTCATTCTAATGATAGTCACCTTGGGAAATCCAATGAACACTTGCTTAAACAAGCTGAAGTCCCATTTTTCAGAGTTCAGAATCCCAACTGTGCTGTTTAAGTGTGTATCCTTCCTCAATATCCTCAACTCCCCTCAAGGCAAGATGCTCTTTGTGGCTGTATTCCTTACCAGCTTTTCCCTGTTTGTGAACAGATCAAATGGTGCATTACTGCTCGTTGGTCTTTCTAATATTTGTGTTAAGAAATTGTCAGCCAAGGCAATTTCAAAAATGTCTAGGCAATTTCTAGGAACTTTCAGAAGTCTCCTTCCATGCAGGAAATTTACCAGAGATATGATTTTCAGTATCAAATAATCTTTCAATCAGAGTGGTTTTTAGGTTTTGCTAGAAACTTAAGCTCTCAACAGAAAATCCAGAAAAAACTTTACTGCAGCAAAATTTCTGACCCTTGGAGAAGAAAGCTGAGCTGCTTTCAGAGTCCTTCTCCTGCAGAAACTTTAGTCAATGGCATGAGCAGGGCCTAAGTGWTATTTTGAAATAGTTTTCAACACAAAAAGTCATTCTTGGTCATCACATACTGAAATTCTCTCTCCCTTTTAACAGGAGAGAATCCAGTTTGACTGTGTCTGGTAATTGTAATTAAGAGTGGAGTAGTCACACTTGTATAGTTTCTGAGAAGGGTGGTTAAGTGAACTGAAGTTTTCTGTCCTGTTTTTAAGCAGACACTTTCCCTAAAAGTAAGTGTTTTTAAAGCTGGCTTAAGGTAGATAATTAAATACTTCAGTAAACATACCAAATTACTTGTTACACCTCTGTGCCATCACTGAGATGTGTTTGATGTTCTACTGGATGGGTTTGATGTTCCGCTAGTTGTGCACATCCTGTGCCCTTCCTTTGCTCACTGAATCAGAGTGATTAATTTTGAGAGAGGAGATCCTTGGAATAATTCAAAGGAGAAGAAGTTCTGACAAAGAATTTGTACCACAATTAACTAATTAAACTTTATCTTGTAGAATATTTTACATAAAAAAGCAATATGAGTTTTATTTAGGTACCTCATTAATCAACATTTAAACAGTAACCTGGAAGGATACATATGTATGTAGATATGCATAAGATATGTACTTTTTTGTTTGTTTGTGACACACAGCACAGTCTTGACACTTGTATCTGTGTTTTTCATCTGGCTACAAAGATCTGAAAGAATATGTGAACCAGATATCTCTGTATTGGAAAACAGCATTGTTATGGCTGCCAGCCAATTAGCATATGTCACACAAGTACTTTTATCAGCTGTAGAAAATCATCTTATGGAAGTTTAACTTTTATTGTGTCTCTTCTGAAATGTCATAGTACAACTATGAAATTCAGGTTCTCATTTCACTGACGTGTACCATATACCTCAAAATTCTGCAGACTGTACATTTTGGTTAAGCAGTTCTCTTTTGTCTATTTGCTCCCCGACATGACCTACAGTGAAGCAAATGAAACCATGTTATTTTGTCAGTCTGTAGTGGAAGTGTTAAAGGGTTTTGATTTGGAGTTTGTTTTTTTCCATAAGGTAGTTAATTGAATATATTTGTAATTTAATTGTGTTTAAAGATTCACTTTTTCCCTACCTTCTTCACCCAACACTTAGACTTCATCCCATTTTCAGAAACTGCAAAGCAATAGGCTTTGAAAAATGTTCAGTGTTTTACATTGAGAGTAACAGACAATTATACCTATCATATATGAAAGTACTGGCTGATGATCTCACTAGGAGTATCATGTATCAGTTCATTATTCTTGCATGCTAGAATTTATATATATTTTTTACGTTTACATTACTGTTACTGTTTACAATGGCATTTCTGAGGGACTCTTAACCTGGGGTTCTCATCAGTATTTTCATCACCCACCACCATCCCATACACTTTCTCCTGACAGCAGCAGTGTATTCAACACAATATYGATACCAGGATTATGAGTTATCAGGTGCTGCAGCTGAAAAACACAACTGACAGAAGTGTATTTCACAATTCCTTCAGAAACCTGAGCTGTGAACTTTGTCTTTTAAGTTAGTGTTTTGAAGCAGTTGGAAGAAACGTGAGGTTTAATATGTGTGCATTATCAGTGTCAGGTGATTTGGTATATCTTTTCTGAACATTTTAACGCAAAGACAAATGTAGGTTTTCTTAAAGGAATTTAAGGATTTCTAAAGTTGTCATGATTAGGATTTACCAACTTATTTAGAGATGTTCATACTTCTTTAGGTAATTGATGAAAGAAATTACAGTGTTTAGGCAGAAAGCATATTGCAGTCACAGCAGTCCATTTATTTTTTCAGTCCATTTGCTGACAAACTTGCAGTTCTCATTTCAGTGTAGGTGAATTAATAATAAGCAGAGGATAGAGTTTATCTCCATCCAGAATGTTATAGTCCAATAATAATAGCAAGCATATTTCTTCTCATCAGCTTGGCTTCCATTTTCTTATTAATGGTATTAAAATCTACAGCCTGTAATTAGTCATTTGGAAGCAAAGTAGTGTAGCACCTTGTATAGTTTACTTTCAGTTGATTGGTTTTTAAATTCATATTGGTGTTGGTTTGGGTTTGTTAATACTTGCMATGGTCATGATCATGATTTTTCATTAGAAGATTCGAGTATTAAATGTTGTGTACATTTTGTCATTGCTTTGGAAAACACTCTGTAGAGTGAGAAACACTTTGAAGCTGGGTACAATTTCTGTGAACTTTTCTCTTACAGTAAGTATTTAAACCAGTATTTTCAGCTGCCAGCAGTACCATTGGAACAGAAGGGATGTGCATAAGGCATGTTCAGATCAGCTGAGGTGATGGTGGGCTCTGCTGGGCTGAAGCTCCCCAGCAGACACCTTCTGAGAACCTGCTCTTTAGGGTGGTGTAGGGTACAGGCTTTGTGTATTATGATGCTGGGAGAATTCTCAGTAGCAAAAACTCCTCATACTTGAAAGCAGTGCTTGTCCAACCTGTGCTGCTGACCTTGGTCTCTTAGCAGAGCAGAGCTAACAATGGTTTCGAGGAAAAAGAAAGTGATAAGATACATTGTAATTATTTACTTTAAGATAATACTCGTTTATTTCTGATGCATGAAGTAGCTAGCAGRTACCATTAGATCATACTCGAGCAATATTATTTAGATCTTGTCTAAGTTGGTTTGTTCTTTTTTCTTTTATTCCCTTCTCTCCCTTAGTTTGTAAAACTTGTATTGTTCAACACTTTGAAGAAAGCAATGACTGTCCCAGGTGTGGCAACCAAGTGCATGAGACCAATCCACTAGAAATGTTAAGGTAAGATGCTATTTGACAATATTTGCTGAAATGGAAGAACAACAACAACATAAAAAYGTAATGTCTTTATCCTAAAAGGGAATTATTGTTTTACTTATTTGTATAATGCATATATTAACTGACATATATTCTAAGCCATATAGGTTGTAATTTTCTCAGCTCCTACTAAATTCTAAATTGATTTTTTTCAGATGTAGTAAAAGGAGGAAAGACACAAATAATGATTAGATTGTACAAATTTTAAAAATTAATATCTCAAATGAATGAGATCTTTTATTCTTTACATGAAATAAAATTCTTGAGGTTTTTTTTTCAAATTTTTAAGGCATTACAAACCTCATGGCAAACCTTTTTTCTTTTAAGAGCAACACGGAAAATGAATCATGTTAAAAACAATGTTTTTCAGGGCATACGTCTGCCAATCTGAATTGGAATCTACTGTAAGATTAATGAAAATACACTAACGAAAAAAAGGTTTACATTAAAAATACCCTTGCTTGAGGTTTTTTTTTTATACCACAATAACACACCTTTTTTAAAACAAGTATTTTCCCTGAAATTCTGGTTTCACTTTTAGTGATGTTATGTTGAAACAAAGATGATAGATATCCCATAAGATAGAAAAATCATGAAATGTCATCATAAGAAGATGGAAGAACTTCATGTTTTCCTAGAGTGGTGAAGGCACTCCCTTGACTTCAATCCCAACACTACCTCGACCCCATCCCACAGTATTATTATTTTGTAATACTGTTGTGAACTTAGGAGGAATTATTCTTACATCAATGTAAAAACATTTGCGTTTACATATGGAATTTACTAGGCTTGGTATTATTTCCTGGTGTCATTGTTTTTGTTACAGTTTTCATACATTGCTTTGATTTTTGACTGATCTGTGGGTGCACAACCATTTCCATACTTCAGTTACACACCAACAGGATTATTGAGATTGTGTTCAGCAACTGTAAAGGGTGTTATTGGCCTAAGTCTTTATCATCTGAATATTTTTTGGAAGGTTAGGGCTAAGCAGGTTTATGTAGATGTTTACCATAAGTATGTTTCTGATTTACTGTCAGCATCTGAGGTGCTGTGTAAGTCATGARAGAAGACCCTATAGGCTACTAATAAGCTGAAAACAAAAACATTTAGAAATATTTCTTTTACTCTGATGGGACCACTTCATATGAGATGAAAAATGCATTTTCTGGAACATGTAGTAAATGTTTAGTAAACATACATTGTTTACATTACTTTGAGCAGGACAGTAGGTGGGTAGTGGGTAGTGAGCAGTAAGTAGGTGAGAAAAGTTCAGAGCGCAAGCCAGAAATGTGGGTAGAGCTATTTTCTATGCAATTATTTCCTGAAATTCCTTTTAGAGTCGTTTGGTCTCTTTGGTAGGAAACTGCTCATAGTTAGTAGTTTCCTGGTGGTATTTTATGAACCAGCTTTACACATTTGCTGAACTAATCATCAGAAGAGATGTCAGCAGTGCAGTGGAACTATCATTCCTGGATGTTGCCTGCATAACTTGATACRTGTCTTACATTCTGACCATAGGGATCAGCCCCATCATTGCTAAAGAATGCAGTTCTTTTTCTGAGAAAACATGTTAAACACCACATATTAGTTTTAACTCAGCCCTCTCAGATAAGCTTTATAAACTACTTATAAACCCAGTTCTGAGCAACTTCACAACTATGTGAGTTTTTTGTTTGTTTCTCTTAGTTGGCAGAACTTAGGGTCTGTTGTAACTACAAGACTAAGTCTGAAATTCAACACTGAGCTCTAAAATGAAAATGTAGGAAGAGTATTAAATTTTAAGAATTTCCTTTACTGATTTAGCAGAATTCTGCATCAGTACTCATTAGGGTCTGTGTTGATAGTGCCATGGAGGCAACCTTTTTTTTTCTCTTGCTAGCATGATACTCCTGTTTAAGCAAGTTCCTGAGCGGTAGTCTTAGTTTGGTTCACATTTGCTGGTAATTTTCAGAGAGTATTGATCTTATGACTCATTCAGTATTATAGAACAGGTGAAAAAAGAAACTATACAAAGCTGGCACAAATGCTTTTTTCGTCTTTCTATACACTCTGGTTTGGAAGATGGTTGGAAAATAGGGGGAGGGGGTGGAAAAGAGTGTCTCTAAAATATCAGTGTTCTTGTTTCAGGATTAACTGGCAGTATCATGTTAAATAACAGACCACTTTTTTTCAAGTAGTTTCATTTTGGAATGGGTTTGATGTGAGTCACAGAAATACAAATCTTTGTGTCAGAGTACTCATATGTGTGGATTATGGGAACACTGTAAGAAGCATCTGAAATGGAGAATCTTGTAATAATTTCATTTTTCCCTAAAGTTTTGCTTTCTCTGCACTTAAAGATCAGATAGGAATTTTTCTTCTGCCCTTTGTCAGAGTGTTGTTTGGCATTTATCCTCTGTAAAGAAAAAAAGGKGTTTGTTTAGTTTTTGAAAGAAAAGCCAGTTCTTGCTTCTGGCATTGTAAGTTTGCAAAGTATACTGGATTTTTTTTTTGCTATTTTAACATTCCTAGATTTTTGGTTTGGGCCATTGAAGTTAAATTAGAAACTGCTAAATGGGATTTTTCAAAAATAATTGTAGGAAAACCAGCATGTATTATACCATCCTGAAGAACAGAGGGATTTTTAATTAAGGTAGTGATGTTCTCTTTTGAACTCCTTATTTCATTTCTTTTAATGAGTAAATTATGAAGGTTGGAGCTTTCTTACAGTGTGAAATGAATTCCATTTCTAAGACAGGTTCCCAAGTTCCCAGTGCTCTGCTGTGGAAACTTCCCAGTACCATGTAGTTAGACACTGACAGAGCAGGCTATGAGATACAGCACCTGGAAAGGTAGACCTATGTTGTCATCTATCAGAAATTAAGCACTCAGACATCCCACAGTTTTCATTTCTTTCTTCTGTGAGAAAGTGCTCTCTGTGCTGCTTTGTTTGATGGGGTGTATGTTTCGCTTGCTGAGTTTTGTTGTTGTTGTCTCCATAAGAAAGAGCAATTAAAAATGGATTGTGGTTGTAGCTTAAACACAAATCTTTTTATGGTATGATGGTATCTGTTGGATACCAGAGGGAACTCGTCTCAGAACTTGATGGATGGGTAAAGGGTCTAATTGTAAACTTTGGAGTACAAGTTCTGAAAGGAGAACTTTGAATACTCTCATATTTTTTTCTATGATAATTTTTATCAATTAATATGGATTGTAGGCATTCCTCAACAATAAAAACATTTAGTCTTACTCCTGCTTTGCCACTGTTGGTGAACAAATGACAGAAGAGCTATGTGACAGGCCTAYAGTGTATTATTAATACCATGTACACACGTGTATTTGCAAATGTATGTGTAAAGAAATATATGGTTCATGAGATGAAAAAAATAAGGCAATTAAAAATACACCAAATTATTATATGCAACTATTATATCATAGCTTCAGTCTGAGTGTCAAGGTACTTAATTTCTCTGTATTACRTAGTATTTTATTTTGTCATGAGTTTTTGTTTAGGCTGTGGGCAGTAGGAGTTTCTGTTGACAAGAGGTGACATAAAAGGCAAAAGAGAGGAGAGAAAAGGAAACTGAACAAAAGACAGAGGAAACTGAAGGATAAGAAATCAGGAGAGGAAGTAGAGCTAGAAAGCAGATAAACTAAATGGGTAGAAAAGTTAGTTAAATTCAGAGAACAGGAAATAAAAATATTTTASCTTCAGCATCAAGGGTGACTGCACTGTGTCCACTGGAAGGGACCGTAAAAATGAGTTTTGGTGCTAATACCGGGGTATCAGAGGACACGCCTGTGTGTGCTCTCTCCTGGTGTACAAGCTCATGGCAGGTTTAAATCGTTCAAATTAATTATGCTGGGTACTGAGAACTGTCAAGTCAGAGCAGTCAGAGCATCATGGATGCTCTGTGGTCTTCTTTATCCTGCCAAGACTGGTTTGTCTGTGGTGTGGTAAGCAGGGAATAGTCTGTTCAGTTTTTCGTAACAGGCTTATTACCAAAGCACTTCAACACTTAATATGATAATGGAGGTTATAATTTTCATGCTTACTTCTCATGAGGTGGACTTTAAAACTAGATACTACTTTTCCAGTCTGTTCCTCTTAGAAACACTACTATTTGCATGTAATACAAATTCTAAAAATAAAAATTTTATAGTATGTTGTTTATTTCTCTTTTGTTTCATTCTTATTTTTATGCATTAAAAATAAATTCCTTGGTTATTTYTAAAACAAATCCATTTAAAAGGTGGTGGAGATAAGCTTTAATGCATGTTGTCTCTCAAGCTAAAATCAGTTGGCTTTGGCAGGATTTATTATTTATCAAAAAAAWGTAACTCCTTTTATTATTCAAAAGTTATTGTTATTTAGTCACTAAAATAGTTAAAATGTTCGTTTCCATTTAATGTRAAATATACTTTTTTCCCTCTGAAAGGCTGGATAACACCTTAGAGGAAATTATATTTAAGTTGGTGCCTGGACTTCGAGAACGTAAGTTTCTCATTTGGTTTTGGGAACTGTTGGGGTTTGTGGAGGGAATATKGCTATTTGTAATTATATTCCTGGTATTGATTGAAAAATTCACTTTACTGTTCTTTGATGTTAACTAGAGGAACTGCAGCGAGAGATTGAATTTTGGAAGAAAAACAAACCTCAAGAAAATGGACAAGGTGATGATCTTTTCCTTCTCTCATTCGTGTTAAGTAACATTGTTCATTAAGACCAGTTTCTTCACTCACATAAATACATTCTGTTTTTGCTGAATTCAAAGATACTACAGAAACTTGTAGTGAATCTGCAAATGTGGTGTGGGCCTTCATGTACTGCTGCTTATTTGTTAACCAGTTTTACAAACACTGGCTCTTTTACCATCACTTTTATTTGCATTACCCTAGGCTCTCCCTTGCAGCRCTCTCACAGTTGTCCAGTTGAATACTTAATTTTCTTAATACGGCAAGATACAGAAATTTTTAACAGAGTTTTTACAGATTACTTTCTGTTACCAAATTTGACCATCTGTTAAGTAGGAGGTTGTCAAGAATTAGTTATGACAAGTAGTAAAACAGTTTTCCACACATGCTAAATAATTGTTTTATATAGATTCCACAATGCTTTTTTGTTTGTTTCTTTCTTCGTTGGGRTTTTTTTGTTTTGTTTGTGTTTCATTTTTTGTAGTTGACCCTCAAACTTTAAAACTCAATATTAAGGTGCTAAGTGAGGACTACATCCAACTGGTTTTATGTCCCTTTAATCTGACATCAAATTTTTAATACCATAGCATATTTGATTTGATTTTAAAGAATTTTGGAAGACTCTGCTAAGTTAAAAAAATAGCTATTTTCAGTAAAGGGTAACTGTCAAATAAACATCTTCCAATATTCCTCTGTACTCAATTCTTTATAATATCTTCTTTTCAACTTTKCAACATTTCGTTTTCTTTCTCACAAGTTTTGTTGATTTGCATTTGGCATCCATTATAAGAGAAAATRTTCTCTTTTATATAAATAAATTAAAAACTGCAGAACAGTTTAGATGAAATTACATTTGTTTGCTACTACATAGTAGTATACTATGTAGTGTATACCTGTTCAGTTTTACAAATACTTAGAAGATACTTTTATGAGATGTAGGCATTTCTTGACTGTGTAGAAAATTATTTTCTGCTATATACATACATAGAAAGAATCAACAGATAATTTGCAAATTTGTAGGGTGTAACTTTTGACCAACTGATTCTTCTTGTTCTAAACTTCCTCTCTAAATTTAATGGTAAACCTAATGGAGAGGAGTTCGTAAATGTAGTGAGAGCTTGGATTGTTTTGTGTATGAGAGGAAGGCTCTAACTCACAAAATACACTTTTGAATAGCTACAGATGTATCCATCTCCATCAGTGACTGTATCCTGGAGCTATGGAAATTTGTCTCTACAAACCATTTGAAAGTCATGACAATTCATTGAGACAAATTATGAGCACTTAAGCTATTTTCTGCCACAAACAAGCATTTAGAATTTGCCTGGGAAGAAATTATTTTCTGAGAATAATTTCAATAAGAGACTTTCAGTTGTCAATACAATGCCCTGCAATCACATTGTCACTGTAGTTTAAAGTCTCAGTTAATGTCCTGTGCCACAGGTCACAGCACAGTTCCCAATGTAAGTATCTAAGATCTGTTAGAAAGTCCCAAGACTCACAACTTTCACATACCAGAAGGAAAAAAAAAACCATCAACAAAGCGTATCTCAGGCATTGGTGACTCCAGCAGGAGACTGGTTACCAGAAAGAATTGATAAATTATGGAAGATACCATGATACAGAGAAACAATATTCATTGGTACTCTCCAGCATGACCTGAACAAATGCTTGTGACAGGTAGACTGCACCTGCTTGATTAATAGAGTCTGTTTCCGGACCGTTCACAGAAAAAATATTAAAAAAGAAAGAAAAAAACCTGTAGTTTGATGCTGTAAATTCTGCTCATAGGATGATGATGATGGGAACAGAATGTATGTATGATRCACATTCAACTAAATGTGTCAATAGCTAATAGGAACTTAGGGACAATCTTTTATAGTTACTGAAAACTTAAAAATTGTGAGAGAGAAAAGTAATGAATATAGCTTAAAACTCATCTTGAATATGTATACTGAACAAAGGGAACTAATTACTGTGTCAAGAAACTTAGTCATGGCTTGGTATTTATTCAAGTTTTCATTCTATTTTCTCATTTGAACTCTTCTAAATTACTTTAGAAGTCTGGTAAGTGTAGGAAAGCAGTTTTTTTAAAGTTTTTTTTTTTTTTAAAAATGGAAAAGCAGCTTATTCAAGTTAATTGTGATGTTTTATTCTAACARAGACCAGTGTTTGTTTTAAATCAAAAGAAGTAAGTTGGGGATACAGAAAAAAACCAAATGTATACAATGAGATTATTGTATACTGCACTCTAAATCTGTGAMATTTACTCCATTTTATGGTTATTATTTACATACATTGTGGCCTTATCTAGGTGTACTTACTAGACTTAGCATTTGAGTGTTCAACTTAGCTAAATCCTAAACTCTACAAGATGGTACCTTTTCCAAAGAGTTCGAATTTTAAACCAATTACCAATAGAACATGTTAACAGCATGAGTGAAGGGGGATAACATGTTATATGTAATTATGGAGTAAAATACACACACCTTTCCTTTCTTATATTTTTAAAGGGGAATAAGTAAATAGATGGCTATTTAGTTKTAAAATCATTCTGGAGAGAAACACCTGTAGTTCTTACAGTAACATTTCTTAGATCAGTCAGAAGTGGATGAGATCTGAGTTTTCATTTACCTCATTTACATTACAGGAACTTGTCTTCACTGGATTATTGTGACAGACAGTTAATATGAATTGATYAGCTGTGTTACTTTGATATACAAGTGTTGGAATTAGTTGTTCCACTGTTTATTTAAAAATATTATTTTTGTCGGTGCCACACCATACACTAGGTTTACGTGTCTGAGTTATCTTGATGCATGCACAGTGCAGCGTTTTAATTATTGGACATATTATAAGTAGACAGCCACACCCAATATGGTCCATCAACTAATTATTTTCTGTTCATAGAAATCTGGTGCATGCATATTGCATTAAAATTTCAATAGTAAAAGTCTGTTTTCAGAGGTTTTTAAATTGGTCAGTTTAAGAATACTGAATTAAAATTGTGTAATTTTAATATGAAGAAAAATTATAAATGCTCATAAAAATGACACATTTCCTTAAATATGTGCTTTTTAACTACTTTATACTTAAATAATATGATCCTAATATTTTATAGATGAAAGTCCAAAAGCTGATAAACCCAAAGTAGATGAGGAGTGTGATGAAAATGAAGAAGATAAAGACTATCACAGGAGTGACCCACAGATTGCAATCTGCCTCGATTGTTTACGCAACAATGGGCAGTCAGGAGATAATGTCGTCAAAGTGAGTAGCAAACGAGCTCTGCTGCTGTTACTGATGACAGAATAGCATCTTACAGGAGCAAAATCATTTTATAACCATCAAAAATAAACTTTAAGGTGGGGACCTGTTCCCACTCCCACGCTAATTTAGTCCTTCTGTTTGAGGCATTTCAGTGCATCTTGGAATTCTGTAAAACAATCGTAACAAATTTGGTTCTGTGCAGAAATCCATTTATGACAGTGGATTTTTGTGTATGTATTATAGTTTTGTAGTCTGCAGCCTTGATGGTATATAACTGYGTTACACAGTGGATTACAGCACACCACAGAGGTACTCACGAAGCCAGCTGTAGGTGAGCTGCCTCATACCTTCAGGATCAGGAATGTGCCAGAATGGACCGGCTTAGCAAATACATTTTGCACTGAATGWATCCRAATCTTCTGAGCTRTAAATCTGATTCTCACTCTGATGTRTTGTCTGTGGCCTTGGGCAGCTCACTTCAGTCTGGAAACGGTGTGGAATAATACTTGCCAGTTGCTGTTTTAAGAATTAGGGATCTATGGTTCCTATTCCTGAAGGGAATTACCTAAAACAGTGAGTCTAGAAGAAAGTCTTTAGAAATTGCCTGAGATTTTAATAATGTTTTATTAAACTACAAAGACAAGAAGAAAAATGAAAATATATTTAAGAAATTTTCTATTAAAACTACGTATATTTTCTGTGGGTTATGTTACATGTATAACTGGAGGTTCTTAACACTTCTAAGAAATGCAACATTTGTTTGACCCCCAGTGTTACTAACACAAACACATAGACTTTTTAAGTTCTTCTGGGAGTTTTGATGGTTTCGGTGGTAGCTGGGTTTTGGTTTTTTTCTTTTCTCTCTTCTGTATCTTATAGAAGTGTCTTTAGAACCAAAGATGTCTCAAATGAACTTGTTTGTCATCTTTTAAATTTTGAAAACGAGTGAACAAAAATGAACCTATGGTGTTATTATGAATTAGAAGAGTGCAGTAAAATTGGTTACTGGTTGAAAAAATTATCAGTTACAGCTGTTCTAGCACTAGAGATTGCTCGTTTTCCATAATTTCTAAYGTGTTTTTTTCTGATTTGTTGCTTTTGCTTTAGGGTTTAATGAAGAAATTTATCCGCTGTTCTACTCGAGTGACTGTGGGAACTATCAAAAAGTTTCTCAGCTTAAAATTAAAACTTCCAAGTTCCTATGAGGTACATTTGAAAGAGAGATTTTAATTTCCCTGCAACATAATCCATTTCAATGAAATTTAGTCATGTTTGAACCCACTTCCACTCTTTCCAGAGAAATGGGAATTTATAGCACRGACAGCCTTCCAGCTTTGGTCAGGGCTAGGGCTGAGCTAGGTTTGGTGCACAGGATTATAGCTAYACACAGGAGTTTGTCACAGTGTCATGGCATGCTGACCAGCCTTTTGGTGTCATTTGGTTTTGTTAATTTAATCTGTCTGGCACCTTAATGGCTTGTGTTACAAAGAATCTGCTTACTTGAAAATTTTGACTTTTATTTTTTGTCTAAAAACCAGAAAATATTATTGCTCTAGTAATGAAAACATYGTCAAACACTTGCAGTGGCGGGCAGCAGTAGTATAGTTATAATACAGTTTAAACTAGACATGTTTCTCAGTCTTTTGTGTTCAGTCAGTGATTGTATACTTTGAAGTGCATTTTTCTTGTAATTTATAGTTATTTTTAAACTAATTTTTAAAAATGTCTTCATAATCTAYTTTTTTAATGAAAATTACAGTACCTCTGGTTTGTATCTTTGGGTTGGAAAGAGCACTAGCATWACAAGGTGGCCTTCAAAATACAGCACAAGGCTTTCTCTTCAAACAGATAYTGTGGAGTGTAGCTAAATATAGGGAATGTTTGTCTACTAGTGATTTCATACCTCCTTAGCAGACTTCCTTCTGTCCACACTTCAAATAAAAACACAAAAGTGAAAAAATACYAGTTGAATACCAGGGTACAAAATAGCACATTGTCAGCATGTTGWGTTCATCCAGGTTTGATATATATGTCTGATGGAATTGTTGTATAATGAAAGGAGTGGAGAGAATAACTCCGGAGATTCACTTAGGACTTCATTTAGACATCAAAATTCTCATCSCTTTGTCTCACTGTTTGTTCTGTTGTATTTTAAGCTGGATGTACTATGCAACGGAGAAATCATGGGGAAGGATCATACTATGGAATTCATCTACATGACAAGATGGAGACTAAGAGGCGAAAACGTAAATGCTGTTACATTATTGATAAATRTTTTGGTATATTTATTTCAGAGACTATACATGCTTTCACAGCTTAGGCCAGAATTTATTCTATGACCCTTCAGAAACCCCTTATTTAAAAATGCCTTTTGCATATTTTCTGGATTTCTTATGAAAAACCCTATGAGTGAAATCCTGCAGCACATATATTGTGTATACTCTGAACCTTCAAAAGAGCAGATATACAATGTGTACATGAAAGTTCTGCTCAAAGTTTTAAGTCAACTGACTGAAAACCCAAGCCCTTGTTCTTTTTCAGCAAATTAGCTTTTAGCGACATTTTGAGTTGCAATAGTTGAGGAATCTGCATCCAGCAGTTCTTCAGTAAGAATCTGTTTTATTCAGTCAATAAACTGAAAGTGACACTGAAATATTATTGGTGAAATCTAATTGTTTTATTACTGTTAATACTACATCTAATTTTTTAGATAAGCTGTATAACAGTAGCATTCAGRTAACAACCAGATGGGTTTTCCTTGCTGCATGTGCATATTTTAGAATTGCAGTATTTAACTTTTTAAAATACTTTTTTTCATGACTAGTACTCAGTTTAATTTAGTATTGCCTTGTATGTTTAATTTTTTTGAAGTCATACCCCCTTTTCTTCTCTTTCTTTTATGCATTCTTTTGTGTGTGCGTGTTGATTGTTCTTCACTCTTTATTGCTTTGTAGTATAGGCAAGTTTGTCTGTTATTACTAGTGGAGGCTAAATTGGAGTGCAGCTAAAGCTAAGGATTTAATTTCTGTTAATTTACTGATCTGAAGAAAATTCCAAACTTTCTCTATTTTTGTTTTGTTTTGTTTTAAACTTCCTGGTGCTCAGAATAAAAAGCACTGGGCCATGGACAGAGAAGACAGAGGATTAAACACTCTGTGGAGTTAGCAATTCACAGGTTTCCTAAAGTTTTTCATTTGTTCCTAAAGCTGGAGGGGGAAGGATAGGTTTTGACAGGAATTAGAGAGCTCAATGTATATAGGCAAGTATTCATTAAATTTAAAAGTAATATTGCACTGAAGTTTGGTGATTGCTGAAACCCCAATGTTGCATGAATAAGGGAGTTTTAAATAGAATCTTTTCTGATACTGCCTTGAAACCAGTGGATGTTTGTTTAGTTTGCCATCTTGTATTTTTGTTAGCATTGGCTGTACTATTAGGAGGTGTTGAGACAACAATTTCAGTGATAATGGAATTTTTTAATGGCATTTCATCCTGCCTACAAATGGACTTTTGGCAGCTGTATGAATTGGAAGCAACATTAATTATGATTTTGATAAAAAGATATTKGTACTGGTGAATTTTTTTTTACATATCAGTATTATAGTTTTTAATATTTAGTGAATGCAAGAGTTGACAACCCTTGGTTAAGTTTGTAAGCTGTGTTTATATACACACAGCATAACCAGATATGTGTTCATCTTTTACATAGTTTTAAATCACTCCCTCAAAGTCAGACACATCTAAAACCTCTAAAAATTTAGTTGTGCTGGTAATAAATCCAGTAATATCTAGGCTTCTGTGATTTTGTTTTCCTCAATGAAGTTGCAATGGTAATTAATTACAGCCTCTTCTTCTGAGTGAAGACCAAGTGAATCCATTATATCTTTGGTACTATTGACCATGAGCTTTTACTGGCATAGCTGTAGCCCTTACATGAGGTAGACAAGTAAAGGGAAAAGGTCCATTTGTTCATTAAAGAAGCCTTTCCTGTTTTAAAATAAGTAAATTAATTGTAACCTTTACATTTAAAAATTTTTAAAAAGAATCACTAAATGGTAAATGTGTATGTCCAGCTGTGGATGCCTCTTATCTGATCAGAAAATCATCTCCTTCGCAGTTTCGGTGTCAGAACTGCTCATCTTCGCAAGTCTGCTCACAGGATGGCACTTTGTATCAGGTAAGAGGCACTCACGACTGTACATATTACAGTCACTAAGGTCCTGGCAGCACCTCCATTGTAATTCAACTTGTGGAGTTTTTATAATTCCTCACTACCAAGTGCTAAAACTCTGTGAGCGAGGCCTGAGCATTTTCATTCCTGCAGCACAAACTTTATTCAAAGGGTTTAGGGGTTTCTTTTACTTTACATTAGGGCGGTTTTTGTGGGTTTTTGTGAGAGATATAATTCTGTAGATTGATATCCATTTCAGCCTCAAGGATAATCTACCTCTTCCTATCTCATTCCTCTAACTAACCAGCATTGGGCAGTCACTGGCAAGGGATCAAAACTGAAGAGTGTGAATTAAAAGACTACATTTAGTCATTACTTTACAGAAATTCGTATGTCCTTTTTAATGGAGTAAAAAAAAAGTTAGATTTTTCTAAATACTTTTCCTTTCACATTTTTAAAATCAGAAATGGAATAATCTTACAAACAAAACCTCTAGAACCTGCAAACTGAAGCTGATTTCTGAGTTTCAGCTAATTGATCTGGTTTCCAGTACTATGGGAAACAGTATTTCAGTTTCCTCATTGAGAATTTTGATTTGAACTGATCTCTGGAAGTTACTTTGCAACTTTGAAATGCTATTTTTATCTTGAGTAAAAAATTAGAGGGTCACTCCCCACTATTGATAGAAGTGAACTATTGCACTCATGCCTCCTGCAGTAGAGTTGTTCCAGCATAGTGCATTTTATTTGTACAGTTTTGTGATTCCGTTTGCTAAAACACTGAGCCACTGGTTTACTTGGTAATTTCAGTGTGTGCTCTGCCACTTCCAATCAGATTTGCACACTTTTAGAGATAATTTATATACTCCAAGTGAAAACCATGTGAAATAGCATTTAAGTAATATGGTAGTCATATCCTGTGCAAGGAAAAAATTAATCAGAGACCTGGTAGTTTATGATACTGCAGATACGTTTGTTAGTTGCRCATTCAGACTGCACATGGTGCTCCTTGTCTTCTCTCCTAAACACTCCTGATACTGTTAATACCTCTGGGTTTACCTTGTGATTTCTCTGCACTCCAATTCATAAATCCCCTGCAAGTGTGATCACTTTTAGTTCTGGTGATCATTTCACTACCATGGCATGGGAAATTTATTAACCCTATAGGTCTGAAGCTCTGTCTTGGTTTCTTCTTCTCTGTTGCATTTGAAGGATGCAGCAAAATAGAGCAARATATTCCTGGTTTTAATGATAGCTTCTGTAATAATTCTTTGTATCTTCAAATTTACAATTTAAAKAAAAAAGAACCTGTAAATTAGCTTTGTTTCTCTATCCTGTAGCAGAGAATTATGTAAGGCTGTAAGCTGCTGAGACAAGAATTGCCAGGGTTTTATGCTATAGAAAATGTCTAGTATGCCAATGACACTAAGAGGGAAACTTGAGACTTAAATGAAGTGCCCACAGACTGAAAAATAAGAGATTCTRTAAACCAACAGTTTGAGCAACAAGTGCCCAGATATTCTGTAGCACTTTTAGGAAAATYCATCCACTCCTGCCTTCCATTCCACAACAGTTCTGTCCAGTTTAGGGATCCAAGAAGCTGATTTGCCCTTTTTTTTCATCAGTAGGAATTAATAAAAATTTATCACTAGATCGGAAGTTACGGAATTTAGATTTGGGGGAGAACGTAGCCCTCATGTCTTGGAAAGTCAGCTGGCAGTAGTTTAACTTTTTTTATAGTATAGCTRTGGAACCTCTGTATATAAATCTTAAAGTGCATCACCTGTAAATACACTTTGGTTTGGAAAGTGTAAAATGTCAAGATTGCTTTTTATCAAACACAGCAACACAGAAATAAGACTCATTTGAGCATTCCAAGTATAAATGTAATAAACTGAAATAGATAAAAGCAGATAAAGAAATTGTATATCAATGACAAATAGCTAATAGATTTGAAGTRCAAGGATGGATTTAAGTGTTGAAATGTATGGAATTATTGCATATAAGTAAAACTGTCACATACATCTGTCTTAGAGATAAGCTCTAGCTATTCTTAAGGTAGTCTTTAATTGCATTTTCTTTGTATTGTTTATGAATCATGTCTTCATGCTTTCTTGTCTGTTTCTGTTGTTGTTTTTCCCTTGYTTTTGTTTTCAGTCTTATCCTATGGTACTTCAGTATCGACCTAGAATTGACTTCGGTTAGACCAAAGGGCCAGATCCCACTGAGATGAATCCTGCACTATTTGTTTACCCATCGACAGATTGCACAATGAATGGATGTGCCTGGACTGGGGGGACACAGCCAGAATTTCAGCATGCAAATAAGGACATTGTCTTTCTTAAAATTGTCAGTTGCATCTCTGTTGTTTCTATTAGAGTAAGCCAAGTGCCATTCTGCTACTGAAATGTGCATAAGATATTTGTGWATCTTAAGAGTGTGCTGCAAATCATAGCCAAAATCATGAAGTGTACCGTCAAGATTCAAAAACTATGGAATATTTTTGCTTGTGTGTTAGAAACTTTTTCTGGTCCTAATATTGATTACACTAGCAAAATGGCAGAGTGTTCATTCCATGTGGTGTTGCAGTTTCACACACTTACTATTTTACTTAATATTGTTGTTTAAATCATAGAGTACTGTAAAAATAACTAAGGATTATACTTTGACAATATTTTGTATAGAAACTATATTTAGAAAAGTGGTGTTTGGGCCACTACCTTTTCCTTGATAATGTTCTCATGGGTCCAGGTATAGCTCACTCATGAGTGTGCAACAGTCCTTTTGCAGTGAATGAAGATTAATTACTCTGGACAAGAGATGTAGACCATGATAATTCAAAATAGTAATTTTAAATCTTCTAAATAGATTCTGCTAACATTGCTTAAAAGCATTGCAGCCTTTGTGATTGCACTTTTCTATGGTTTCCCTAAAGTTTGGAATTTGGGATACCAGCTATTTATGGAAAAAATGGCTTCTGGTCAGATTACATTTCTTCTAACAAAGCCTCCTTAAAAATGAAGCTAAAATAATATAAATATCTATGGAACAAATAAATTCCACTACAAAAGTATGACCAAGGCAAAATTTTACACAATTATTAATTCTCATAATAAACATTTTATTTTAAGATTGAATAGAGGTCTGTAATATGCTAAGACAAAAATAATATATAGCTTTAATAACCTACTGTATCTCATGTGATTATCTGGAGTTTAGAATTCATTACAGAAATTTTCATTAGTTAAAGTCACATCATCAAACTATTTCCATAAAATTAGAGGTAATGCAATACTGAAGATAAGCAGTCTGACCAAAATAATTGTTCAGGTCATCTTTTTTTTCCTAGGACCTGGTAGCGCTGGATAAAAAGTGATTGTTGCCTTAGGTATTGCAAGCATAATGGTTCTAGTATGGGATGTTTATTGGGGTTTTTGGTAACGTTGCAGGGAAGATTAGCAATGTATATGTTTTCAGTCTTCCATTGTCTTTGCTTAAAAGTCAGTTGAGTTTTTCTGATCAGATTCTCTGGAGATACTTATAGTTTAGTCACGTTATGTAATTTCTACTTAATACATGCCTGCTAGTGTTGTAGATAGCTATTTTCTTTCTTTTTGCCTTTTGAATACAGCATAAAGGAACCAAATCAATTTTTTCACAAGCTACTGTAGAGTGAACTGATCATTCTTAGACAAAGTGAAAATTCTTTCTTGGGATCAATTCAAAAGGTAGATGCAAGGCTGTAATTCCTTTGTAAGCTTATGTTCATGTACAGTAGTAAGTTCTGTAGGAGAAATAAGCAYGTTGTGGATTAGGCCTGGCCCCTATAATGCTGTTTGGAGTTCTTGCACTGTTGACTCGAGGAATCATATGCAGGGTTGAATTCTACCATTGCACTCCAAAGCCCATAGGTTGTGCAGAAATCACGGTGCTGTCRGTAGCAGTCTGTTTAGGAACCCTGCCATTGCAGGTCAACGTTGCACATATTGTGCAGGTGCCAGGGGAACTGGGGAAGAAAAGCTTCTAGGAAGAAGCTGCTGCCCCTTTCTGCAGGCACAGTGTGCTGGCCCACACAGACTTTTGGTTTGCCCAAAAGTGGGCAGGGGTGCACATGCTGGCCACAGGGGGCAGACAGCCTTTTGCCCACCCAGTCTGTGATGTGCTACTTGACAGACAGCAGATGCTCCATGGAGGGAGARCCCTTCTCTGCAGAGTCTATAGGGAAAAATAGATTCTTTGTCTATGTAGAGGTCCTCCTCATGGAGTAGTTCGGAAAAGCAGAGCATGCTTTCTGATTGAAAATCATTCTTCTCTTTAGTACATACAATTGTTTTGTACAGTAGAAATAGGATATTATTTGTAAATATTTACATGCACATACAAATTACACCTTACAGTTTTTTATATATTTCACTTGTTTTTATACTAGAATTTTCACTGTAGATTTGCTTGACATAAAACACCTGTTTCAGTTTATCATGAAGCTAATGCTAGGATGCTTAAGCATAATTTCCACTTGGYTCAGGGCACAATTTTTTTCTCAGCAATTGTGTTTGCTGTTTTGACAAATTTGAACAGACATGTTTTGAAAAGACAGGAACATATAAATTTTAATCCATCCACCTAACAGGACCCTTGGAACAGCACTATTTTGCATTGGCTTTGGAATGGCAACTAATCGAAGCTTTCTTTGACTGATAACTTCCTGTGTTCATAATTCAGAGAACCATTAATTTTCTCTGTCAGAGTTGGACATTGGTTTTKATTCCTGGTATTTTCTTGATGCAAGTTAAAGCTAGATTACAGAAGGCAAATCTTCATTTTAAGCATGGAAAATACTGACAGATCTGAATCGATGTTCCCAGCTGAGAATGGTGGCATTAAAAGCATATGAACCAACCACCTACACTTTATGCATTTCTGATTTGATGGCACAGTGCCTGAGTGCTGCTATAATTTAATAGTTTTTGTAAAAGTGAAGTGCCAGTGAAATACATATCTTAACTGGGCAACTTGTGTACCATAGGCATTGCCTTCTTTACAGGAAATTTCTCTCATATAGTACATATGTGCCATGTCTCTGCAGATACACATGTTTAATTCATTTGTGCCAATTAAGAGTATCTGAGCACCATAGGAAGAKGAGAATGCGTGTGCAGATTCCTGTGTGCCAAAGATGGGGTAAAGTGAAAYGAGTACCTAAGCATTCCCTTCAGACTGCACCATATGCCATGCTAGAGCAGATACGTGGATGGAGTCACACTTTCTGAGCATTTCCATGACAAAGTGTCACCACTGCGTGCTTGTAAAGCATAGAATATAAAACAAGTGTTGCTGCCACTGTGTTCCTATGACTTTCCCATATTAGCAGTATCCTATGGCAGAGAGACCTAAAAAACTCTGCACTACTGCCTAACCTTGCTGTCTCTTCTTTAGCACTTTTGGTGCCRATTGTTTTTTTTCCCCTAGAAGTGAAAAACTCATTAATGAAAATCATAAACAGCTTTTTGTTGAGCATAGCTGACTGCTGCRCTTGTCTAGTACCAAGCTGTAAACTAGAATTTAGAAACATAATCCTGTAATATCTCAAACAATGCGGAATTTGGTGATTAATCAAGAAATATATCTTCCATGATGCATTACTACGCTCCTGGTAGCTAAGGACCTAGTCCTATGAAGCTTTTTTGTAATGAAATACCAAATGAGATTGCTAAAATAATTGAAGTGACTCATCACTATAGTAGATATTATTCACATGAAAGCTTTTTGGAATTTGGGTCCTAGGAGTATGCAGTGCTAGAAGTATTGTGCATACTCAGCTAGCTTGCAGTTGTGCAAAAAAAGTTTATAAAGGTATTATCTTGGCTTTACTGAAAATATTGTACAAAGTGAAGTGCCTGATTACTAATACAGAATACCTTTTGAGCCCATTATTTGCATTTGACAGGGTAATACTTGCTTCTGTATTTTATCTATGGTCTTAATATTTTCAGCAAGAATATATCATAAACATACTGTATTGGGAAACTTTCATGGGGAAAAAAGGATAAAAAGTGTTCTTTTAGATAATTTAAATCAATCCCCCATCTCATTAGAAATKATATTAAAATAAGTACTTTTACATGGAAAGTATTCCATTTTCTGCATGAGGAACCCTTTAATTCTGGTTCTTGGTCTCTTTCTCTCCATAAGTTTCAACAACTTGACTTTTCTGCTGTTATCAYAGTTCTAGTGTATCTGCTGCAGAARAGGGATTGATACCATTCCATTTAGATACAAGCTAAGCTCTTACTGCAGACAAAGTAATGGTCTAGAGTTTCATCTCATCTCTCCCATGTATACCTATTATACATGACTTTGAGAGAGAAATAAACAATTTTTCCTTTTCTGCTGTTTTCTGAAATAACAAAATAGGCCATGGCTTAGTTATTTAATTGAACCAATCACTGTATTGTTTGTGGGTTTTTTACATTTGCATGTAACTGAAGACAACAAGAGGCATTCATTCACTCAAAAAAAATATCATTCTTGGAAGGACTTGCAACAAAAGGAATAGCATCCACCTYAGCCAGATACTAATAGCATCCACCTCAGATACTATGTCTGGTAGAAATACTAGAGAACAGATATCTGTTCAAAACCAGTGTTAGGTATCTTAATAAATAGATTAAGCCTTGATTATAGAGGGGCTACATAGAATATTGATCAACTGCATTCACTGATCAGACTCATTTTTGTCCTGGAAAAGTGCAAAGGCAGTTAAGACTTACATTTTTATCCAAGAGCTTGGTCCAGTTTCTTCACTTAATCKGGCAGATTGAAGGCATCTCTTGGCTTGCTACAAAAATGCATTTATCATGCTGCGTATTCCCCTCTCATTTTACTTCATGCTTTKTTATCTTATTATTTTTCTCAGTTAAAATGTCTAAACAGGTACAGTGTCTGCTGTAATTAATTCTAGGTTCTTGCACATCTTATGGCCATTCCCATACCCCACCCCATTTCCTACCCAATAAGTCAAAACATTAAGGACTTGTAAAGGTGAAATTGCACATGAGGTGTCAGCTCACAGGTTTCATTTATCAGGCAGCTCTCATGGATTTCAGCAACATTTTCACAGTTCTGCATTTTCAATCCTTTATAGCCAGTTTGAGCAAGGTCATGCTTCCACAAGGTTTTGAAGAGGGATTGTAGTGCAGTGCAGTGTGCTCCAGGATGAGYTCCAAGACACAAGGGCACTGATTCACCTGAAGGAAATGTGAAAACTTCCAACTAATTTTGTCACATAGGGGTTGTCTGACTTTCAGACCTCAGCTGAAACATCCGTTGTAGAAATGTCCTTCAAAAGATGATCTTGTAATGTCAATATATTTTTCTTCATAAGCACACCTACCTACTAGTTTTCTACCTACTGTCTACACAGTCTGTAAGTCAGATTAAAACCTTAGATTCCAGAATAGAAAATTGATTAATTAATGAATTCCTGAAAGATTCTTCCATCCAAGGTATRTGCCATAAATCTTTTGCATTCAGGAGCTTTCCACTACAGTTGAATAAGGATGCTATTTCATTCTCTAGTAAGCAATTTAGGTCTCCATGCTTCTGGAGTGTGGCAGTGAAGCAGCAGAGCTCTGTACATGGTAGAAATGTCCAGGCTATCTCTTGTATTTGCAGAAGGAGACCAAGCTCTGTAAGCTCAGGATGGAAGAGAAATTCTGGAGTGAAAGATGTCCATAAGTGGTAGTTTTTGCTGTTACATTAAGTTTAACCAAAGATAGGCATTGGTTTGATTTTGCTTCTTTTTCTGAACCATTAGGTRCTTTTCTTTGAAGTAACTTTTATGTGTATTTTTAGCAAATGCTTCTAACATGGTTAACAGTTGACAGGATGAGGTGAACAGAAGTAGTTACCGTGCATTTTCCTTTTTCCTCATGATAGGGAGTGGAAAGCAAAGAGTTTGGAGAAGGTTACTATACAGTGTATGAAATGGCTGGACAGTGAAATGTTTTTGCTGCTAGTTAACATATTGAGGGTTTTATTACAAACGGAGTTGTAATGAAGATGTTTATTGTCAAAGTGCAAGGCACATATTTTGTGATGGTATTCTACTCCTAAAATTCAGTTTTGTATTACATTGAATATGGTAGATATTGTTCCTGCTGTCTCCCAAATTTTGATGTGGTAAGAAGAAACATACTCCATTTTTACTGAAAAATATCACATAG